TATCTATCTATCTATCTATCTATCTATCTATCTATCTATCTATCTATCTATCTATCTATCTATCTACAATAGTTGTACGCTTGTTTAATATAAATACAAAACATTTGAAACAAACAAAAGACAAACATTTACTTTAACGAGCTGAAGTGCAACGGCATAAAACACCTTGAGGTCAGACTCCTGCGTGGTTCTGGTTCTCGTGACTTCAGTAAACTTCTCATATTTAGCTTTGTGCACCGTGTTGTAGTGACTTATATTAAAACCCTTCATGGCAGACGGTGTTTCTCACCAGACTGAATGCCTTGAACATCTGTGAACGGATCATTTTCCTCCCAAAAGGAAAAAAAATCTCATTGGTGGGCCGATGGAAGTCATCTGCAGGCCAGATGTGGCCTGCGGTCCACCAGTTGCCCATCCCTGAATTATATTATAACTCCCACTCCAAGCAGGAGGAGGCTTCRTTTAATTAAACTTTCATTTAACTGATGAAGACGTTTTCTTTTAACGTGACTTTATTTGGGAAAAAGAAGGTTTTAAGTTTTGAGTTGATCAGTTAATTGTGTAAAATACTGTGTAAGTGTCGTGATGTGTGTGTTCTGAGCCGACACGCAGCTGCAGCAGCTGCAGCAGCTGCAGCAGCGGCTCGGTGTGTCAGTCGGCCTGTAGGTGGCACATTAACCCACTTCTTGACTTCATGCAGCTGAATGAACTTAATGTCCTCTGTTCTGCCAGAGATCAGCTGCCTCTGACACACAGCTTCTCCTCTCTTCAGGATTCCTCTGCCTGCTTTTTCTTCCTCCACACATTAAAATCACCATAAACTAAATGTTTGTTTACATGTGTGGGTTCTGTATGCACAGGTTTTTATCTAATTAGTATAATTAAAACTGAACCAGACCTCACATGAAGCCTGTTTGAAGCTGCTATAGTTTAACGTATGGCTCCGGTTACAGAGACTCTTTTTTTCTGCAGATAAACTCACGTGAACCGAAGCTGCTCGCCTCGCGCTCTGATTGGTCGACGTGCCGGCACGTGTACTGGCGAATACCCTCAACGCCCCCCGTCCGTTATGTAACGTGTAGTGGTGGCGCAGGAAGGGGCGGGAAAGCTGTTTGCAGTCCATTCATACCCGAGTGGAGCCCTTTCACCTAAAACCATGTTTTTACCCCGTCTGTTAGCAAAATATCTCATGGACCACAGTTTTTATGAAACTTTGCAGAACTGGATGGACTTCTGAGCCAAATGAGACTGTAAAACACAAAAACAACTGAAGAATCTGTTTCCTGCTAAAATAATAAAACTGTTAAAGTTTGTTAAATTCAAACAGATGATTTTTGATGAAAGTAGGAAAACAAAAGTAGCAGAAGGAAGTTAAAATTAGTAAACAGCTGGTGAACAGAGGAAAAAAAGCTCATTTGAGCAAAAAAAAGGATGCAATTTGTTTTAAAACGGCTAAAACAGCCGAAATTAGCAGGAAAAATCGCTGAAAGGTAGCTGAAAAGTTGCAATTAGTACAGTCAGAAAAAAATGTTTACTAGAGTTTACTAAAGTAAGAAGCTGAAATTATTACAAAAAGGGGAATTTAGATAAATAGCTACATAGCAGCTAAAAAGGGAGAAAACAGCCGAAATTAGCAGGAAAAATAGCTGAAAAGTAGCTGAAAAGTTGCAATTAGTACAGTCAGAAAGAAAATGTTTACTAAAGTTTACCAAAGTAAGAAGCTGAAATTATTACAAAAAGGGGAATTTGAATATAGATAAATAGCTACATAGCAGCTAAAAAGGTAGGAAACAGCYGAAATTAGCAGAAATCAGCTGAAAGAAGTAGAAAAAGCATAAAATTAGAAAGAAGCTGATATGAGTCTAAAAATGTTTAAACTAACAACAACAGCTGAATGGAGCAGAAAGGTAGCTGAAAAAGCAAAAAAGAGCTAAAATTAGAACAAAGAAGTTGTAATAAAAAGCAAAACCAGAACAAAAGGTAAAAAGTGCGGTAAGAATTTATAAACATTTTAAGAATGCTGAAGATAGCGTCACTTATTTCCAATGAAGAAAATAATGGCAGAAAAAGCTAAATAGCTAAAATATATAATTAGCTTAAATTTCTGGGTTTGAAGGCTACGTTTATTCCCAGATATTTATTGTTTTTCTTTTATCGTCCATCTAAAATCACCCTCCTTTTGCCTGGTTCTGCCATATTTGTGCAACGGACTACGTTAAGGAACCATCGAATCAGCCGAGTGCTTTGCTTACGTTCAGCGTGTACCCGCATTTCAAAAATGCTTTTCTGTTTGTCTCGTTAAACTGCTACAAATACAAAACGTCAAAGAAAACATCTTTTTATTTAAGAAACTCGACATAAAACACACAATTTTGCCCATTTTGTTACATAACTGACAGATTTTCTTTTGAACTTGGCTCGACCAAAGTGAAACAGGAAGTGACATCAAAGGGGAACTCTTTAAAAAAGAAAGTGGTCTTTGTTTATTTAAATAATATTATATGAGTTTTAACGCTTCATCTCTCTGATATTATCCCGTCATGAYATCACTTCCTGTTGCTTCACCTGCTAATATCTCCACAACTGTTCATCTCAGCGTCATTAATTAATTTTTGCAATAAGCTGTTAAAAGTTATATTTCCAAAAATGCCTTCATCCGTCCCTCCATTATTGTTTACCCACTTCTTCCTTTTAGGGTCACGGGGGTCATTGGTGCCCTGACCCAGCAGTAAATAAAATAAAATAAAATAAAATGCTTTCATATTTATTACAAAAATGTGATGTCACACTAATAAACTGTTGGATTTCATGGAGTTGCTTTAAAATGAGATTAAATATAAAACGACAGGCTTTGCTGTGCCTGGAGATAAATAATCCTGATTTTATTATATTTTAATTAGAAAGCAGATTAAAAGTCGTGTACAGACCATAATGAGTCTACAGTGGTTGTTTAGTTAAGTTTTTCAGTCTATTTTCTTGTTTTATGTTTCATTTCTTCATAAAATGTGACATAAATCGGCTCGTGCGCCTGAAAGAAAAAAGGTGCTAAATGTTTTAAATCGTTTTCGCTCCTCCTCGCGGCTCTAACCGACGCCMCCCAGGCCACGCGCACACAAAGAGACACCCGGCTTTTTCTCACATTCCACGTGCGGTCCGAACTTTCGTACCCGCCATCGGCTCTTTCCCGGAACCCGACCGCCTCGCGTATCCCTCCGCCGTGTAGTCCCCACATTCGGGGCGTTTTATCACCGCGACTCGGTGAATCCCGGTTTTCCCGCCTGGGCTCCTTCCCCGAACGGAGCGACGAGTTTTTTTTACGCGGTGGGTTCGATCCCCGTCCACGGACGTTTCGCCGCTTCTGCGTTTTGGCGCGGTTTTTCTCGGCGGCGGAAGGAGATCGTGGCGTGGTGATACATAAGGCCGAGCCGCAGCCACACCCACTGTGTCTGATAGTACCGGCGGAGGAGAAACAAGTCCCTGGACCTCCACGCACCATGCTGCCTTTCTCCAACTTTAATTTCACACGCAGGACGTCACGCGCAAGCAGAAACATTTAAGTTGAACCCCTCAACTTTGGACTTTATTGGATATTTTAATTTTGATTTTTTTACCTCTAAAAACCGTCAGGTAAGACCGCTGCACGTGCATTAAAACTGTTTTATTTGATGTCAGCCGACTTAAAAAGCACCTAACGTTTAGTAAGAGTTGTATCTGTGCGTTAAATGCGTTTCTGCACATTTATTTCGTTGCATTTCTGCGTTAAAGTGTAACAAAAAAATGTGCCGGTTTTCACGTGGAGCTCGACCCACTCGAGTTTAAAGGACCCCCTCCCTCCACGGATAACGTGCTTTTAAAGGGCTTGACGGGTTTCCGGTTTCGCACCAGCTTGTGTGTTTTCTGCATGATTAGTTTAGTGTGAAATAATAAAATTAAAATAAAAACCCCTCACAGCTGGTTTTTATTAAGGCAGGACGGCGTGTGGTCTGCTGCGTTCAAAGCCTCCGCAGAGCGTCGGAATTCAAGCTTTGACGCTGTTATTCGCGTGCGGCGGGGCGCGTTCACGGCCGTTAAACTGCGGAGTTGTTTTATTTCACTTGCTGCCGTTTTCTGGCTCCGGTTTCCTGGACTTGAGGTGGTTTTTAAATAAAGGCAGTCTGTGCTAAAAACACACACTGCTGCTTTTGTTCTCCAACTCGGTCTGAGACCCCCGAAGGACCCCCACCCCCTTATTTAAATGCCCCTGTCGACCTGCAGCAGTATGCGATGCCTCACATTAGGCAAATATTTGATTATTTTACAGTTTTTTTTTTGTTATAACATTTACCTTTTGAATGAGAAGCTGAAAGTTTTCCTAAAAAGATGCAAAAAATAAAAAACTTTCGGGGTTGAGTTTTTTCAGGTTTGGGTTTTTTTTTTTGGGCAGGAAAAATGTAAATTGTGGAAACTAGAGTAAAGTTTCTGCCCCAGCTGTTCTGTGATGTCATGGGGAGGTGGGGAATAGGAAAGGAGGGGGGGTTGTGGGCCTCCCCCAGGGGGCGGGGCTTCAGTGATGTAAACACGAATAAAAGGAGACCCACTGCTGGTGGGGGGTTTCAGTTAGGAGGAAAGGGTTTAATCTTTCACTACAAGACCTGCTGCTGTTGGGACACACTACTCCACTGTTTTTTTTCTGGATTTTATTTATTTATTTTTAATTTTTAACCCTCTACCTACGACTTATTTTTTTTTTTTTTTTGTGGATTTTCCTTCCCAGATTCTGAGGTTCAAACATGTTGCAAAGTTTCTCTCAGTCACCGGACTGGCTTTACACGGAGCCGCTGCTGTTCGATGATGAGTTCTGCCAGAGCCTGATGAAGGACCTGCAGTCGCTGCCGACGCCCCCCCAGTCCCCGCCGATGAAGGCGGACCCGGGCGGCGGGAAGCCCCTGTCCAAGGAGGACCAGCTGAGCTACGTGTCGGACATCCTGCTGGAGGACCGCGACATGCAGCAGCTGGCCTGGACCTGCGACTTCCTGGCCTCGGAGCGGGAGTCCTGCCTGCCCTGCTCCCCGCTGGAGGAGCCCGGCGAGGACCTCCTGTGGCGCTGCCTGACTGGGGACAAAGTCCTGGAGGAGAAGCTGATGCTGGGCTCTAGCCCGCCGCTCGCCGACATCGACGCCAGCATCTTCGAGGAGATCGCCGGCTCCGCGCTGGACTTTCAGAGCCTGATGGGCTCTCAGGAGACCAGCGAGTCCACGTCGGACTACGGCTCCACCGGCGGGGAGATGTCATCCAGTGATTCCGGTGAGTTCAGACCTGGTTTTTCCTCAGAACGGGTCGTGAGTTCAGACCTGGATCTGTTTGTTTTACAGCCCTGGAACGGAGCAGCTCCTCCAGCGTTTCATTGATGATTTACTGTGGAAGCACAGATCCAGACTTGTTCTTTGTACCGTTTATCTGTCAGACCTGTAACCTGGAGGCTTTAAAACAGATTTATGATGATGAGGAGGAGGAGGCGGCTGCTGATTGAAGTGAATGATTTTAGAAAATAAACTCCTCAGATTAAACTCTGAAGAAGCTTCAAAAGTTCTTGAACAAGAAAACCGTTTTATTTTTAACTTCGTGTGAACGTGGCGGGAAAAGTCCACGTGTTGTGTTCACTGTCCACACCTCTGTTTATGGTCCTGACTATTTCCTGGAAGAGTTCTCAGCAGATGTGTTCAGTTGGATTAAAACTGTTTTCTTTTTTTTGTTTTAAACAGAGGAGGAAATCGATGTGGTGACAGTGGTCCGCTGCCCCTCCAGCCTCTCTCCTCTGCCGGACCAGTCGACCTGCAAACGGAAACAGGAGGAGGTGGAGCGAGCGCGCCAGCTCCATCACCTGGAGATCCAGCAGCAACACAACTACGCCGCCCCGTACCCCACCTCGCCGCCGCCGAAACAGTCGTCGTCCAACAAGCGCTCGAGGGGGAGCGACGGCTCGTCCCGCCACAGCCACTCCCCCCGCAGCAGCAGCTCCTCCTCCTCGTCCTCGTCCCGCTACCACTACGTGTCCCGGAACTCGACGGAGACGGAGGACGAGGTGGAGCGGCGGCGGACTCACAACGTGATGGAGCGCCAGCGGCGGAACGAGCTGAAGAACTGCTTCCTGCGGCTGCGCGACAACGTGCCGGAGCTGTCGCACAACGACAAGGCGTCCAAGGTGGTGATCCTGAAGAAGGCCAGGGACTGCATCTACGGGCTGGAGGACGAGAGCCACCGGCTGCAGGCCAAGAGGGACAAGCTGAGGACCAGGCAGGAGGCCCTGAAGACCCGGCTGCAGGCGCTGCGCAGCTAATGCGCGGTTTTCCGGGTGGTTTTTTGTTTTGTTTTTGTACAGACTGATACGGGACACCACGCTGCAGAGCTCACAGAAACATTTCAAAGACTCTTGGGGTTCCAGGCGATCCGGACTGTAACGAACACTGGTTTCTGGGTCAGAACAYGACAAACTCAACGCCACAAATTTTCATGCCTCGACTGCTGACTGTTGTAGAGTGTTAGGTTGTTTTTAACTGCGTTTATTTTCATTCCCCCCCTTCGTTCTCTGTTAATCCGGGTCTTGGGTATGAATGGCCCAACGACCAGACCTCTCGTGTCTGGGAGTTTAAACTTGGAAAAAAAAATTTTTTTTCAGGATGTCTGTAGCCACCTCGACCAGCGATTCCCTCCTATCTGAAGTGGAAATATCAGTAATAACAATTTAAGCTCATAAAACTACCAAAGTCCAGAGTAAAAAGGACGTTTTTCTTTTGTTCAAAACCAAAAAACTCAACCAGCAGAGTTGTAGCCGATTGTTTAGTTTCTTATTGGAGGCAGACGGTTTGTTTCAGAGCTCAACGTTTCATATTCAAGTGTTTATTTCAGCTATTGAAGCACAGAGTATCCATTAACTTTAATTTTTAGAGCATCATAATGGTGACTTTGGAGGAAAACAGCTGCTGGGATATTTAAAAGGTTCAAACCAGTGATGACTGTTATCATTGTTGACGATGACAACTTATTATTGAATGCATGTGTGTCTTTAAATGTTTCRTTTTATAAGACGTTAAATCAGGTTCTGGTTAGTTGGAGGTTTTTTATTTTTATTTTTCTGCCTTAAAGTTATTCAGGACTTCTAATTTTTTGGTTAAAAGTGTCATTTTTCCTACAGAAACAATGGTTTGTCTCAGTTTTAAAAATTTTTTGTATAAGTTCGATCTCCGGTGAAGACGCAGTGAGGTTTTAATAAGACTGCAGGGATCTTTTTTATTTTTATTTAATTTTTTATTTTCTTCACGTTAAACTCGGCAAACCTACCTCCACCTGACTGCAGTTAGGTCTTGTTTTGTTTTTTTCCTTTTTTATATATATATAAATATTGTAAATGTTGTATAAATTATTTTAGTTATTCAGTTTTGTTTATAAATGTTGAATTTAAACAATGCACCTTTTTAAATTTGGAAATAAATTTGAAAAAATCAAAAGGAAGTTTTGAAAGTCTTTAATTTTTAAATGTCTGTTTTTTTTATGAATAAAACTCAAAACAAACTCCATAAAGGTTACAATTATTTCAATTGTTTTGCTGTAATATTGATTTGCATCTCTTAAGAAAGCTTAAAATTAAATCTTATACGTGCAGTTAGGATTTTATTTATAGTTTAATGAAGAAAACTAATAAACACATTGATGTGATGCTTTAGTTGCAGTTTTTAACTTTTTTTTTAACAAAAAAGCTTTGAAAACATCAATTTCTGATAATTGCAACAACAAAAAAAAAACATCCTGAAACCAATCAGAAGCTAGGCTCAGTTAATTAAGATTGAGACCAGCTGTGTTGGTTTGGAGACAGCTGCAGATGTTGGACAGCACAGGTAGAAGGACTGAAGTTACAGACACGGTTTGGACATGTCCAGAGGAGGGACCGGAAGGATGTTGGACAGGACACGGAAGTAGTTGGACAAGAGCGCAGACGGGCTGTGTCCAAAACGACAGGCCGCGTCTCGTCTTCACTCACCTGGAGACCACTCCCCCCATAAAGCTCTCCTCGGGGCTACACTGCAGCAGGTGTGTGTTGCTCAACAGGTGGACACGCACCTGACAGGTGAGAGAGTGTTCCTCCTCTGCTGCCTCGGGAATTTTAAAATATCAGTGGCTTCACCTAAACGCTGTATTTGCCGTTAGCTTCGGCTAGCCTCGGCTAGCTCTGACGTCATCGCGCTGCCACAAAAACAACCGCTAAAGGCTGCTGAAGATGGAGTTTTAGAACTTATAATCAAAATATGTTGAAATGAAAACATTCTGGATGGCATCCGTGGTCCGAAAAATTGAAATGCAACTCAAAACCAGGTGTTTACGCCATGTGACCGTCATACATTGTGACCAGAGGGGGCGCTGTTGCGTTTCTACAGCAGAACTTGACCGAACATGGCCACAAAGAAGAATATGATACAACAACAACCCAGAGGTCACAAAATATGACAGCTGTTGTCATATATTGTGACTTCACTGTAGCTTGGTAAATAATAAAAATATTTTTTCATAAACTGATTCTACTCATTGTTTACATCCTCTAATGTCAGAAAAATAACTTCTGATCACTGGCATGTTGACTATATTACTACTACTATTATTATTACTACACATGATAATAGCTATCATTATGTGACCCTGTACTAATTTAATAACAGTCACCATGTCAGTGATCAAAAGTTATTTTTCTGACACTAGAGGATGTAAACAATTAGTATAAATAGTTTTTGAATAATTTTTTTTACTGTTTCTTTAGCTACAGTGAAGTCACAATATATGACAGCTGTCATATTCTGTGACCATGTATAATAACAACAGTCAACAGTTTTTGGTTTTTTTTTTCGTATGTCTTCAGCCTCTGGCTGTTGGCGCATCATATTCTTCTTTGTGGCCATGTTCGGCCAAGTTTTGTTGTAGAAATGCAACAGCGCCCCCTCTGGTCACAATATATGACGGTCACAAAAAAAATGGTGCAACACCTGTCGCAACTGCAAGTTTAACGTATTGTAGGGGAGAATTAGCAAGGCTAGCAGAATTAGCGGTTGCTTTTGTTGCAGGATGAAGACGTCATAACAAATCGCAGCACTCCCAACGGCAAAAAAAGCTACGTTCCATTCCAAAATTAACTTTTTAGCCACACTATTTATACATAATTTTACAGTTAGATTTACGACTTAACATTCAGACATGACATTTAAACTTTAAAATTAACATTTTGTAAGGAATAGCTAAATGCAGCGAGCTGTGGAACAGTAAAATGTTACTAGTTTTAGGATTTTTCACTCAGAAAGTGAGCTTAATCAGTTTTTAACACTTTATTTTACTATTGAACCCCACATCTGCTCGTGCACTTTGTTTACAAATATTCTGCCACCCTTTTATTAAAAATTTCAAATATAAAATAGTCTTTATATGCTTAGATTTAGGAGTGGGGAAAAATGTTCCTTAGCRTCTCCATTCCTGAAATCTGACAACTATGAGAACTATTTCAGGTTTTCCTGAGTCTTTGTGTTGAAGGATTTTAGTTTATTCAGCTTGAAAACACCTTTTTTTTTCTGTAAAATTCCTGAGCTGTTTCTCATGTTTTGGTCTTTTGGCATCTTTCAACAGGAGCTCCCAGCATGATAGCTCCACCCCTGTGCTTCACAGGTAATAATATTTATTATATATTGTGTGTGGGTTTTATTTTTAGGATGTCAGGTTTGTTTTTGTATAAAAAGGTCAAACTCTTCATGTTAATGAGAGTTTGAAGGAGTTTTGAAAGACTTCTGAGGTAAAAAGGGGGAATTTTTGATTTGCATTTTTTGGCCTCTTTGACCAGTTTTCCAGGAAAACTCGGTCATCCTGAAACTTATCTTGATCTCAACCCTTTCTGGATTGAGTTAACAATTCAGGAAATGACTTCATGAATCGTAAAACAAACTCTTTTATCCAAGTTTTATATTTATCCAAGTTTGAAGTCCTAAATTTTTACATGACACTTTTTGTTTAAAACTTTATTTCTGCTTATTAAAGCTATAGTTTGAGTTAATAATCTTTAACTAGATAACTGGTTAAATGAGTCTGAGATGACTGCTTTATTGTTTATTATAAACCTTAAACAGGTCAGAGAAGATTAAGAAAAAAAATCAGCTTTTTTTAAACACATTTAGAAGAGGAAAATATCCATAAAGGGATTATTGAGGATTATAAATTAGATTGGGTTATTTTTAGGAAGTGTTTTGTGTAATAAAACAGAATATTTTCAGCTCTGTGGGGCAGGGTGAGTAAGGAAAGGTGTGTCAGATAAGAGGTAATCTGACTCAGAGCCCATAAAATCCTTTTCATCTGACAGATTATTGGAGAAGCCTAATAAATGATTAAACCTTAATCTCTGTTATCCTGCCGAGTTTATGAGTTAGAAAGTGGAGTTTGACACCAGCTGTTTCYTTCCTGTTTACATGTTTAAAACTTTAATCTCTTAATCTTATTGCTGTTTATCAGTTTAGATAAAGGCAGATGTTTTATTTACAGACCAACACTTGACAAATATGCTATGTAAAAAGAAAAGGTTATTACTTTATACGTAGTTTTCCTTTTTCTTAAAGTGTTTTTCTTTATAGCTTTGGCTACTTTATCTCTAATTTTCAGCTGAGTCTTTGTAAACAACAATTTCTGGAGCAATTTGTACTGTTTTTAAGCCTCTTAACTATGACCATTTAGGTGACAAAATGCTCCTAAAATAAAGAGATGCTTGGCAAGGTCTTTGCAGGGTCTTGGCAAGGTTTTTGCAGGGTCTTGGCAAGGTTTTTGCAGGGTCTTGGCAAGGTCTTTGCAGGGTCTTGGCAAGGTCTTTGCAGGGTCTTTGCAAGGTCTTGGCAGGGTCTTGGCAAGGTCTTTGCAAGGTCTTTGTAGGATTTTGGTGAGCTCTTTGCAGGGTTTTGGTGAGGTTTTTGCAGGGTCTTGGTGAGGTCTTTGCAGGGTCTTTGCAGGGTCTTGGCAAGGTCTTTGCAGAGTTTTAGTGAGGTCTTTGCAGGGTCTTGGCGAGGTCTTGGGGCAATCTTTGGACAAGCTGGTGCACAGTAAGGTCGCGTCAGAATCATTGCATAAACATGCTGCAGAAGACCTAGTTTTAGGCACAATCCAGTCATTTTAACCAAATTCACACCTTCATGCATCTCTTAAGCCAGACAAACAAAGAAGCTAATGACCCTCAGGAGGTAGAGGAGTGGGATTAATCTGCATAAATTGAGCAGATTAAACTCTGCACTCCCCCAGTTTGGCTTTAGTCCAGTTTCTTTCATTTTAAACTTTTAGGTTTTATATTTGGAACAAACACTGAGAGCCCACTTGTCTTTGATAAAATGCCTTGTCATGGAGTTTAACATGTTAACACATGCCTTTAGCTTTATTTTCATGAACTTTATTTAATCCTTTTGTGAAGAAAGATGAGCTCAACGTCTCTGGAATAACAGATGCCTAGAGTTTTTCCAAGAGCAGTGGGGTTAGGTATCCGATACTTTTGGAAAATGGGTGGAGTGTGTGTGTGTGTGTGTGTGTGTGTTGTACAGTAGCTGACTGGTTCTTCAGTGACCCAGCTAGTCTGACTCATTCATTCTGATCGACCACATCAGAGAAGGAGAGGGCAGCAGGAGAAAGGAAGATGAACAAAGGAAAAGATGAGAAATGAAAACGTCAGAAGCAAAGATTTGTCCACTCCAATTTTTAAAGATGAGAATAATGAGACGCCCACACAGTTTGAAACGCAGCTAAAGCTGAACCACATTCTGACATTGTCAACATGTCCTTCAGCAACTAGTGTCTCTGTTCAACGCTGTTTCGTTTTACCCCCTGATTTATTTCCCAGTATGTAGTCTGTGGACATTCTCCGCAGATCTTTAGTTTTTTAGCCTKACCCAAGCCCAACCTTTTGCTACTTGTAACTTTTAGGTACCCTGTGGSTACCATTAGCTTTTAGCTACAATTTAGCTTTTAGTTTTTACCCATTACTTTCCTTCTTTTCCACAGTATTTTGCTACTTTAATTCAATAGCTTAAAATATTGCTAGTTTTGGCTGTTGGCTACAATTTAGCTTTTAGTTTTTACCCATTACTGCTTTTAGCCAGCATTTTACTTTTAGCCTTTAGCTACAATATTAGCGATAAGCTATAATTTGCTACTTGTAGCTTTTACTTTACATTTTGTCGTTTTTAGCTTTTAAAAACCATTACCTACTTCTAGCTAGCCTTTTGTTATTTTTAGCTTTTTTAGCTACATTTAGCAGTTAGAATTTAGTATTTACATTCCTCCTTTTTAGCCAGAATTTTGCTTTTTATAACTTGTAAAAACCATAAACATTTAAATATGCTACATTTTGTCTTTAGCTACAATTAAGTTTTTACCCATTACTTTCTTTCGTTTATATAATGTTTTGCTACTTTTATTCCTTAGCTTAAAATATTGCTAGTTTTGGCTGTTGGCTACAGTTTAGCTTTTAGTTTTTTTCCTATTACTTTGCTGCTATTACCCAGCGTTTTAGCTACAATATTAGCAATAAGTTAGAATTTGCTACTTGTAGCCTTTACTTTACATTTTGCTGTATGTTTTAGCTTTTAAAAATCATTGCCTACTTTTAGCTAGCCTTTTATTTTTAGCTTTTTAAGCTACATTTAGCAGTTAGAATTTAGTATTTACATTCCTCCTTTTAGCCAGCATTTTGCTTTTTATAACTTGTAAAAACCATTAACATCTATTAAACCATATGCTACATTTTGTCTTTAGCTAGAATTTTATTTTTAGCAGTTAGCTAGACTTAACTACTTTTCAATTTTTTTGAAATTTCATCTTCATGTAGATGTCTCCAAACATTTCACAAGTTGGCATGTTGTTTAAACGTTATAATGTGACAGGGCCTCAACAGTCCAGTAACTCCAAACAGTGGCTGTCTGTCTCAGCTGCTACTAAACCAACGTTTAGCTCTATTTGTAAAACTGACGTTAATTAATTAATGATTTTAAAGCCTCGTGATTAAAATCCCTCCAGTGTTCCTTTCAAACAGTAAATATATGGCAGCTGTTTTCATTCATCACCTTCGTCATCATGTGTTCACGCCGGGATGTGTAATCCTCGTGTATCCTGGATTATGACTCAACAGCCGGTAAATCGGCGCTTTCTCCCTCCAACTCCCTCTCAGACGTTTTACAGCAGCTCCACATTCCTCTCATCTGTAACCCATTACCCAGATTCCTCTGCTCCTTTGCCAGGCCAGCTACCCCCCACCCCCCACCCCCCTCACGCTCCAGGCTTGATAACCAGCTCTGATGATACACTTCCTGTGTCCGTCGCTGCCTCCCAGAGTCATGCAAAAATAATAAAGCTGCATTATATCAGAGCTCGGTCACGAGCGCCGATCCTGACTCTGTGCAGAACAACTGCCGGGGATGCCAGGAAAGTCTGAATGTGTTTTTGTTCCCTCGAGTGTACACTGCTCTCTTTAGCTGTGTGGTGTGTGTGTGAAAGTTTCTGCTTTTCTTTAGCTCTGTGTGTGGTTCGGCTCGTTAAAAAAATCCCACGCTGTTGGAAAGTAAAGTCTCTCGTCGTCGCTAAAATCAAAGGAGACAAACGAGACGTTTTTCTCACTCAGAGAGCGAAATGTTCTGTGGGACACCTGAGCACAGTTATGCTAAAGAAGCCGAAACTGAGTTATTAAAGTTTATTACAACAAAAGCAGAAGCTAAAATAAACGCAACACTAGCTAAAAGTAGCAAAAAGTACGTAAAAGCCAGTCGAGGCAGATGGTCTCCTGTCCTGAGCCTGGTTCTGCTGGAGGTTTCTTCCTGATTAGCAGGGAGTTTTTCCTCTCCACCGTTTGCTCAGGATGGGAGACTGTGATGAAGTGATTCAACACAATCTGCTGGTTTCTTCTTTAGATTATTCTTTTTATGTACAGTGTCCTGAGACAACGTATGTTGTGACTTGGCGCTATATAAATAAACTGAATTGAATTAAATGAATTGAATTAAAAGTAGAGGGGGAAAAATAAATATATGAAATTAAAAAAGTACCTAAAACCTAAAAATAATAAAGGCTAAAAATGGAAAATCACAAAATCTACAAACAGCTGAAAGCTGCAAGTAGCAAAAAGGTCGGATAGAAGATAAAACAGCAAAAGGCTAGCTWAAAACTAAAAAGAACAAACATTTTGGCTAAAAGTATCAAAAGGTTTGATGCAGGATAAAAATAGCAATCTGATAGCTAAAAGTTGAATGTACCTCAAAGAGAAAAGAAAGGAAAACTAAACTTAGCTAAATCCTAGCTAAACGTATCCAAATGCTGGCTAGAAGAATCGATGGGATGTGTAAAAGCCAACTATAAGAAATTTCTAGTTGGATTATAAAAGTAGCATAATTGTACCTAAAGGCTAAAAGTAGCAAATACTTAAAATGCTTTAGCCAAAGGTTGGATAGAAGCTAAAAATAGCAAAAGGCTAAGTGCTAAAAATTGAGAAAAAAGCTAAAATTTTATCTAAAGGCTAAAAATAGCATAAAAAGTAAAAAAAAAGATGCTGAAGCAGATTAAGAAAACACTGATGTGATGACTCAGTAAAAATGCTGAATCAGCGTGTGTGAGTGCTGACTCAGCATGCAGCGACTCAACATGCTGACTCACTC